TAGACCTATTGATGGAAATAACGCTCACGTAGACTGAATTTTCGGGCATTGATCTCCTACCAGGACGTCCACTTATCGACTTAGAATACGGAGATGACATAGTCCCGTTTGGTGAAGACGCTGACAAAACTCAGAGTCTTCTGGTAGCACTAAGCAACAATGGCAGAATGTTTGGAATGCGCTTCTCTCCCTCGAAATGCAAGTTGTTGATTCAAAACTGGGCTGCGTCAACACCTGAACTAAGGATAGCGAGTGAAGTAGTCGAACGCGTTGACAACTTCACTTATCTTGGAAGTCTGATCAGTCCTAATGGGTTGGTATCGGACGAAATCTCAACACGGATTCGAAAAGCTCGCTTGGCTTTTGCCAACTTACGTCACCTTTGGCGAAGACGAGATATCCGTCTATCAATAAAAGGACAAGTATACTGCGCGGCAGTCCGTTCTGTTTTACTTTGCGGCAGCGAAACATGGCCTTTAAGAGTAGAAGACACTCGTAAGCTACTAGTATTTGACCACAGATGGCTTAGAAATATTGCTGGCGTCTGCTGGGATCACCGGGTAAGTAATAGTGAGGTTAAACGCAGGGTATTAGGGAATGATGGTAAATCAGTTGATGAGTTTGTTAATCTTCATCGACTGAGATGGTTGGGTCACGTGTTACGTATGCCCGAACACCGATTACCACGACGTGCAATGCTAACCGGTGTTGGAGATGGTTGGAAGACAGTTAGGGGCGGCCAAACCAAAACGTGACATCAGTCCTTGAAGTCACTAACTTCTAGTTTGAGCCATGTTGGTAGATGCAGACTACTTAGTTGGGGTCCGCGTGACTATCGTAACCAATGGTTGGAGACTCTTGATGACATGGCTCAGAATCGATCACAATGGCATAGGCGTATGCACTCCTTGTCATCCCTAAAACCATAAGATTAAATTGATCTTATACCTTTCTTCGAATTTCTTTCTGTATCATATCTTCATATGCACTTATTTTTATTATTGAAGTAAGTTCTGTGAATTCGGTGGTCGTCTTGTTCTGTTAATGAGGTGTGGCAACTTGGACCGATGCATATATTTGATAGATCATACGTTGTGGCTGACTGTTTTGTGAGACCGCGCCCTGAACTTCATGTTAGGGATTCTGTTGTTCGGGACTTATGTCGATCAAATTCATGGGTTAGGACTGTAGTATTCTATGCCATCTATATACGTATACAGAATCGAAGTGTGGTCATCGACTTTACCACAAATTTAGTATAGAGAACCGGGACGATTTACGCTCCGAGTATTTGGGGACCTGAATTCCTCGTCACTTTTTCGGATCTGGGCTGCCGGGTAGTATCATTTACCCCTTCATTAAGAGCGTTTCCCATACTGAAACACTGTGGATGAGCTAAAAATAAGCCTGGCTCCCAGGTCACGTGGTTTCTCCTGCGTATGTGTTACTCTGAGTTCAAAATCAAAATCAGCTTTCTTAAATTAGAGCGTAATAGACAGTTACTGGTGTTCTGCCTCATTAAATGGTCAAGTAAGAACTCGGAGATATTGGGACATACCCCGTTACCTTTTTGTCGTCTTCGCCTACGTTCACACTGGGTGCACTTTGTGTAAAGTAGAGAATGAATTTTACCGAAAGCTGTCTTTTCTCTTAAAAGTCAAACAATCCGATCTAATCATACCAAACTTTAACGCCCTAGTAGGCAGTTTAAACCAAGGCGAAAGACACTTAGGTGTGTTTTACAGGGTCACAGCTCAAGACACAGATAATAATGACCGTTTGCTACAACTATTCTCAGGCAACCACATATTCTTAGTAAGCATTAGTTTTAAGCTTGAAGAGTAACATCATCTGGTGGGTATCAGAGGAGAACTTACCAGACGGAAATACGTTATTGCAAATAAGACTTTACTAATGCAGGAGGCTATTAGCCTATTGGCTTTGGCCTGTAAGAAGAACGATGGCGGTTGTGCTGAAAACACGAGCACTAACAGTGAAGAATGTGTCAGAACAGTATGGAGAAAACGAAACGAAAAGAAAAAAGCTGTAGGCAGTACGCAGCTGGTTAATAAATCATTGGTGGACTCCCATTGTGAGTCCCAAAATGCACTACCAAAGTCTGATAGTAAGAGTGAATTCCACCCTGGCGTGACTGAGAAGGAGAATCTAATCTCATCGAATAATAATGTGAGCAAATTGCTGGAGTCAAACGACCCTGGGCGAATATATTCGTAGTATCTTACCAGATAACTCTAAAAGAGTTCAGGTAAAAAAAACTGGTTAGAATAGGTAAGAGGACCGAGGACAATGTTGGACACTGACCATGTAGACTCCTTAGGGTAATCCTAGGATTGGAGAAGCAACGTCATTTCCTGTTAATTAACGCTCGTAGTTGCGACAATTCCGGTATCTGAGTTAGATCTGATATGTCTCTTGAAGACAGAATAAAACGGAAGAGGGCACTAGCTGAACTAGAAACCCTTCGACAAAACGGTGAGGAAAGTCTCCGTTCATTGGGTTTTCGGATAGTCAGGTCTTGGGAGCGAATGATACCAAGTCCATGATTTAGACATTACTCCAAAATTATCCGGATACCACAATCTAAGGAGGTGGCATCCTTTTATATATAGCCAATAATATAAATACTCAATCCTCTGCTAGCGAACCCCATGATAGTGGTACTTGTGAAGTCATTGGCTGTGAATCGGCTATCGATGTGGTACATTTATACTCGGTGTCATCTATCGCAGCCCAATTCGCTTAGTTAATGACTTTATTTTAGAGCACATTCAGCTTTAGAGTGCAAATAACAGATGCTTCATAATAGGAGACTTTATTGCACCTGATATTAGTTGAACTGAGATGACCACCGAAGGATTTATAGACTCCTTTGATAGTAGATTCCTGATAGCAATAATGGAGCATGCATTAGTGCAGGATGTATCCAAATCCACTCGTTTTGGTGATAATCAAGGTTCTTCTCTGTTGGACTTGGTAATCACTCATGATACCGAGAATATTGTCGACCTAAATATTCTTCCGCCATTAGTAAAGAGCAATCACGCTGTTTTGTCATTCGCGTTTAGAACTATGGAAATGTTATACGACCAGGTTACACCCTGCCCAAATGTATGAAGAGCTAACATATCAGCCATTCAGGAGTGTGCTGCTAAGACAGATTGGTCTGTGGATATTAGCTCATCAGCTGAAGAAGCGTGGTCTGTATTTAAAGGCAAGTTTAGTTTAGTTACGTCCTCGTCCATACCCTACCTGGTACCGCGAAGACCGAATAACAGTCCACCGTGGATAACTCAAACAGTCAGGAAACTCCTTAGAAAAAGGAAGAATCACTGGAATATGTTCATCTCTACTGGCTTAGAACAATACAGATCCAGTTATTGTAAGATTAGGAATGCCTTTAAAGCGTTATTATATGAAAAACAATTGATTAGGGATTGTAGATATAGTCCGAAACGGTTATTGTCGTACATAAAAAGGCAAACTCAGCGAAGCGATTGGATTCCAATGACTTTTGATACAAGGAACTCCGTGAATCTTGGCAAGAAATGATACAGAAAAAGCTGAAGCTTTATCGGAATATTTTACTAATGTGTTTTCTATCAGTTATGAAGTACGACCAACGATTCATTGTGATTGTGGCGGCTCGTTGATGGACCCTGTTGTCATTAGGAAAGGTACTTCAGCATCTCAAACCTGATAAGTCCAGTGGTCCCGATGATATTCATCCTAGAATTATGAAAGCCATATCAGATGAAATTGCTGAACCATTAACGATACTATTTGACATGCCACTGAGACAGTCCAGACTGCCTAGAGACTGGAAAGACGCTATAATAAGTTCGGTGTATAAGGCTGGGAGTAGGGATTTAGTTAGTAACTATAGACCCGTTAGCTTAACTAGTGCAGTTGTGAAACTGATGGAGAAAATCATTCGGATAGCTGTTATAAACTATGTTGAAGGGCAAAATCTTTTCTCCAGGGCACAACATGGTTTTCGGAAAGGCTTATCTTGCTTGACAAATATTCTGATTGCACGAGAAGAGTGGGCTGCGGCAAAGGATCAGAATGCTCCTGTGGATGTAATTTTCATAGATCTAAGTAAAGCCTTTGATAAGGTTTCACACTCTGGTCTTAAATTCAAACTGAAACGTTTTGGAATCCATAACACAGTTGTCGATTGGATAAGTAACTTTCTCCATGACAGGAGACAAAGGGTAAGGGTTAATGGGGCTCTCTCCTGGTGGGTACCTGTAAAAAATGGGGTTCCCCAAGGTACAATTCTAGGTCCTCTTCTCTTTTTACTTTATGTAAATGAATTGCCAACTATAGCGAAATCATTTGTCCTACTCTTCGCTGATGACATGAAAATTTGGAGACACATAAACAGTATGTCGGATAGGATAGTATTACAGAATGATCTTAGCTCATTGGTGGCATGGTTGGACAGGTGATCACTAGAAGTAAATCTAAATAAGAGTGTGACGATGCAATTAAATAACTATGATGAATCGTATCACTGTACAATATGTGGATTCGTGCTACCCAAAGTAAGAAACTATAAAGACTAAGGATTCATATTAGCCAGTGATCTCAAAATCACCAGTCACTGTAAGGCTGCTGCGAAAGGCTACAGGCTGTTATGAATTATTCGTAGGTCTTTACAGCATTTAGATGATCAAATGTTCAAATTATTATACCCAATTTATGTGCGACCACATTTGGAACGTGGGATCCAAGCAACGAATCCTTGTTTCAAGTATGAAGCAGGTATGCTGGGAAGAGTCCAACGACGAGGTACTAAGATGGTACAGAGTTTGTCTGTCCTATCTTATGAAGACAGACTGAGACACATTAACTTATTTCCGTTATGTTACCGTAGAATTCGGGGTGATATAATATTGGCTTATTGTATTCTGAACGATGACCCTGGTATTAACATGTCTTATCTTTTGCTTCCATCTAGGACTGATCAATTGAAAGGACATTCGAAGAAAGTTCAAAAACGGAGATCAAATCGTTTACGTCTGGAGTTTGGTTTCTCGCACCGAGTAGTGAATTACTGAAATTCTCTGCCGGAACACGTAATACTAGCACATTCTATTGATATATTCGAAACGAGAGTGGAACTCCTTATTGTTGAAAACTGCAAGGATTAATATAGGTCGATGGACCCCCTATCCTTATCACTGAGGTCTGAAAAAATTGGATAATGATCGCTCTCAAGTACGTTCTTCGGCGGCCTTTTGGTCGAATTCTACAAATCACAAGTATTCACTCACTAGTTTTTCCAAAACATTTAGAATCACTGGGTGAACCTATCTAATGTTACACACTGTATTTATGATATTTGTTTGATGGGCACGGCCTCTCTATTTTTGGTGAAATTTTAGAAAAGCCATCATAGGAAATTTTCGGGAAATAGCACAAAAACCCTAAATTTTCCCTAGAATCTTATGACACTTTCGGAAAACCCATCTGCTCTCTGTGATTTGACCTCAATATTTTTTTCGCAGTTTGGGGACATTCTGCACGATTCCGGGTTATCCCCAAGACCATTAGTGGTCTGTACCCAAGCTGGCAACTTTTGGGAAATTTTGGGGAAATCCCCAAAGTAAAAGAGCCTTCCCCAAAGTTTGGGGAAAATTTGGGTTTTTCGTTTCATTTCCCCAAAATTTACTATAGCGGCTTTCCCAAAAATGGACCAAATTTTCCCCAAAGTTGGCAGCTTGGGTACAATCAGTTGATTGTACAGAAAATCTTGTTGACTTAATAACATGTGCACAAAAGTTACTACGCACCCATTCAATTTTATTTTCAGTTAACTTCTCAAAGTGAACGCGATTCCAAAGCAATTGAACCATAGTTGATAAGTAGAATCAATCTGTCGCGATAGATAAGCATTGCCGTAATCAAAACATTGGTGCGCTATAAGTGGAAATGTTTAACGAAGTTAAAAAATCAATTTTCCCACCAACAAATAATGTCCTCGAATTCTTGACAGTTGCTAATGCGTTTCCGTTGCATATATCAGGTTGGTGTTGAACTTTCATTCAGTGTTCTACAAAAAAAAGTTACTCTTCTGCATTTCAAACGCTGTATCGAAACAGCCAAATTACCAATAGTAGACAAACGAATGCCCTATATCATAGCAATCATCCAACCTATGAATCCATAATGTGATGTGAAAGGTTGACTTCATACCGCTGGTATAACAATGTTTGCTAAACTAGAAAAATTACAGTTAGGTCCGTGAACACTTGCGAAACTAGAAAATTGGGTCCCACATTGTAGCAACGACAAAGTACACTTTGGACGTAGATGGCCAGTTCAGGAATTCACACCCGAAAAAGGTCCAGAATTTCGTTGACCTTCCTTACAGTTATGTCACCATCATCTCAATTGCAACTCTGTTTAGCTGTTGCTTCATTGAGAGATGAACAGGTGGAGACATTTCAATAGTGAACCCACCTACAATTTGTTAATAAAAAAGCCGGAACTATGCAATTTGCTTCACTCAGTCAGTCAGCTACAACGTAGGACCAGGCACATATATGCATCGGTCCAAGTTGCCATACCTCATTAACACAACAAGATGGGCACCGGATTCATATAAGTAGTTAATTCAGGGGTGGTAATATATAAAAGAAAGATTGGAATAAGGATATAATACAGGAAGAAAGAATTAGTTCGTAGAAAGAAAGATATGAATCAATTTTAATCTCAGTTTAAGGGAAGACAGAGAGTGTATACACCGACGCCATTGTGATCGATTCTGAGCCATGTCATCAAGAGTCTCCAACCATTGGTTACGATAGTCACGCGGACCCCAACTAAGTAGTCTGCATCTACCAACATGGCTCAAACTAGAAGTTAGTGACTTCAAGGACTGATGTCACGTTTTGGTTTGGCCGCCCCTAACTGTCTTCCAACCATCTCCAACACCGGTTAGCATTGCACGTCGTGGTAATCGGTGTTCGGGCATACGTAACACGTGACCCAACCATCTCAGTCGATGAAGATTAACAAACTCATCAACTGATTTACCATCATTCCCTAATACCCTGCGTTTAACCTCACTATTACTTACCCGGTGATCCCAGCAGACGCCAGCAATATTTCTAAGCCATCTGTGGTCAAATACTAGTAGCTTACGAGTGTCTTCTACTCTTAAAGGCCATGTTTCGCTGCCGCAAAGTAAAACAGAACGGACTGCCGCGCAGTATACTTGTCCTTTTATTGATAGACGGATATCTCGTCTTCGCCAAAGGTGACGTAAGTTGGCAAAAGCCAAGCGAGCTTTTCGAATCCGTGTTGAGATTTCGTCCGATACCAACCCATTAGGACTGATCAGACTTCCAAGATAAGTGAAGTTGTCAACGCGTTCGACTACTTCACTCGCTATCCTTAGTTCAGGTGTTGACGCAGCCCAGTTTTGAATCAACAACTTGCATTTCGAGGGAGAGAAGCGCATTCCAAACATTCTGCCATTGTTGCTTAGTGCTACCAGAAGACTCTGAGTTTTGTCAGCGTCTTCACCAAACGGGACTATGTCATCTCCGTATTCTAAGTCGATAAGTGGACGTCCTGGTAGGAGATCAATGCCCGAAAATTCAGTCTACGTGAGCGTTATTTCCATCAATAGGTCTATGAGGAAGTTAAACAAAAGTAGAGAAAGTGGACAGCCTTGACGCACACCACTTGAGGTTGCAAAAGTAGATGACAGTTCGCCATAAGCCCTGACTCGACTAGTAGTGTTCGAGTAAAGAGCCTTTACAAGGTTTATGTACTTCTGGGGTACGCCTTTCAATGACAGACACTGCCACAGAATCTCGCGGTCTACAGAGTCAAATGCTCTTTTGAGGTCAAGAAAAACTATCACTGTCGGTCTCCGATAAGCACGTTTGTGTTTACAATCAAATGAATGGTGAATATGTGGTCGATACAGCCACGACCAGGTCTGAAGCCAGCTTGAGTCTCTCGTGTTTGCAGTTCACGAGTCTTAGTTAAGCGTCTGATAATTATCGAGGCTAATATTTTAGATACTATATTAGTTAAACTATTCCCTCTATGGTTATCCCGGGATGATTTGAACCCTTTCTTATATATTGGGACAATCAGTGATTGCGACCAGTCAGATGGGATAACGTCTGACTCCCAGATCTTAGCTAAAATATTAGTCAACCTAATCGCTAAAATTGGACCATCATACCTAAAGATTTTGGGAGTTAATCCATCTGGCCCAACTGCCTTTCCTCGTTTCAGATTAACTATAGCCTTCTCAACTTCAGCAAGAGTTGGGGGACCTACTTCAATGTTCCATTCACATTGTCTGGGAATGGAGGGTAGTCGTAGAGTAGCTGAAGGCCAGTTGAACTGTCTTTGAAATGTTCCGCCCATCGTTCTAAACGTCTGGACTTACACTTGACTTATTAATTCCAGTTTCTTTTATTAGTCTGTAAAGCTGTCTTGTGTTCCCTATAGTCGCCGCCTTTTCCATCTCTTTTGCTTTCGCTGCCCACCACTGCTCACGGTCGTTCGTTAGACTTTTTCTTAACCTAGATCTGATTTGTCTACGCTCTTCATCATGTTCAGAAACTGATGGGACGAGTTTGCGAGAATCCATCAGTGTGATAGACCTTGAAGAAATTCATTGGTTCTTTGTAACTCTGTGGTTTAAACCATTAATAGATGTTACTGCTGTTTCCACAGCTGATTGTATAGCTTTCCAAGCAACATCTAGGTCAGCCTCGTCTTCAGAACTACCTAAGTGTGACCTCAGTTGTTCCTGGAACCTACTTTTGGTTTTCTCGTTACTCAACTCAGTTCTAGCGGGTCTTTTTAATATGGTTTTTTTGCGTCCAGTGAGGCGCAAGCAGATGCGTGGTCGGAGTCCAAGCAAGTACTCCAGAATGAGCGACAATCTTCTACCGACCCTCTCCAACGATGACTGATGGCAATATGGTCTATTTGAGTCTATCGTTGGTTTGGTGTAGGGGGTCGCCATGTTAGACGATGTCTCTCCTTATGCTTATAATTTGTGTTTGCTAAAAATAAACGATTGTCTGAGCATAGTTGCAGCAGACGATCACCATTATCTGTTCACTGTGTCGGAATACTAAAATATCCACCTAAATGCCTTTCTGTTTGGTTTAAACTACCTATCTGAGCACTAAAGTCACCCCCTACGAGTACTATGTCTGAGCGTTTAGCTTTCTGCAGAAGTTCGAACAGCTTTCTGTAAAATTCATCTTCCACATCATCTGAGCTGCAGTCAGTGGGAGCGTAGACAGAAACGACAAAAAGGCAACGACGTGTGTCCCTATCCTTCCGAGTTCTTACGTAGCCGTTTAGCTGTACAGCACATAAACGACTGTTGACGGGGATCCACTCTAGCAGTGCTTGTTCGGCCCTCATGCTTAGTGCTATGCCTACACCTGCCAGTCCACGAGAACTGGCCATCGGGTCACCAGATACACGGAGGGTGTATCTCGTTGGCTCTCCGTTTTGACGAGGTGAGGTCAAGTGAATGACTACACTGGAATCCTGTATGTGTGTTTCGGAGACACAGCATACATCAATGGTAAGAGACTAGGGTTTTAGCCAAGGAAGCCTGCTGACCGATTTGATATAGGGTTCGTACGTTGATGGCTCCAATGTGTAGTTTGGAGCGAGGTTTCAGTAGACCTGGGTCAGTGTTTTGAGCACTAGAATCGTTGGCTTTGGTGACACTTGAGGAGGAAGCCGAAAGAGGAAATTTAGAGTTGAAAGTCTATGTAGGAGGAATAATAGGAATGGAAGAGGGAGGTTGATTATGAATACAGTGGTCTTGAGTGCTGTTAGAGGTATGAGGGCGGTTATCACTTCCGGATTGCCCACACCGTGGAAGGGTTGTTCTGGAGGTACCTGAAAACGAAATTGGATTAGAGGTGGTCTTAGTGACCTGGGAGCGTGACCGCAGTGCCCAAAGGACAACTGCTTGAGGTCAGTCACACACGACCTTTTTAGGGGTGATTTTTGTGTTAGCTCCGTACTTGTTGAGACCTTACCGCCGGAGACGGATATCCGTGAGGTAAGGTGAGGTGTGACATTTTTAGAGTCAACCTTTTCTAACCCCACCCCTCCTTGTGAGAAGGCAGCATCGCTTTCATGCTGGTTGTCTGGAGGAAACACCTTACTGCTGTCACACCTCTGTACAGTCAGCAGTACGACTTCGCCTTCGGACCTTGGGTTTGTTGCTTTTAGTCTAACCGCTCTTCAATCGACCTGTCTGACATGGTAGGACCTTGAGGAACGGTTGTTCCAGCCAGTATAGCTCGGTTGCTTCATCACGATAGGCAAACCCGACCACCACGTCAAGGTAGCAACAACGGTCGGGGCTGAGGTCCAGAGTTGCTCCCTAACCTTACGGGTTACCGTACTAGCAGATATCACTGCTGTTTCCACAGCTTTTCGGATATCATTCCATGCTGCTTCGGGGTGGGCATCACATACATGGCTGCCTAACTGTTTTTCTAGTTGTTCCTGAAATATACTCTTAGCTTGACTATCATTAAGTAGGGCCCTAAGGGGTTTCTTTGCAGTGTCTTTCCGACGTCCAGTAAGACGCAGATAGATACGCGCTCGTACTAGAGCATGATCTGAATTTAAGCATGTGCTCCAGAATGAGCGACAGTCTTCTATCGAGCCCCTCCATCGGTGGCTGATCTATTTGGTGGTGATCTATCTGGGTCCAACGTTGGGACGAATTAGGGGGTCGCCATGTTAAAAGATGTTTTTGCCTATGCTTAAAGTTAGTATTTGCAAGGAACAGGCGGTTATCTGAACATAGCTGCAACAGACGGTCGCCATTATCTGTTCTTTGAGCCACGACACCATAAGATCCACCCAGGTGTCTTTCCCTATCGCTTAGTTTACCTACTTAAGCATTAAAGTCACCGGCCATTATTACTACATCCGAGCGCCTAGCTTTTAGGAGGTCAGAGAGCTTTCTGTAAAACTCATCTTTTACATCATCTGAGCTGCAGTCAGTGGGAGAATAGGCAGAGACGACGAAGAGGCAACGACGAGTCTCCCTATCTTTTCGGATCCTTACTGTTCCTTTCAGTCGGACAGCGCACAAACGACTGTCTACTGGGATCCACTCTAAGAGAGCTAGTTCTGCCCTAGGACTCAATGCTATACCTACGCCGGCGTGGCCACGAGAAGCATCACCAGGGCTTCCAGATATACGAAGTGTGAATCGAGTCGGTTCTTTATTTTGACATAGTGAGGCCAAATGAATGACGCTACTCGGATCCTCTATACGCGTTTCGGAGACGCAGCACACATCGATGGCGCGAGATTCTAAAGTCCTAGCTAAGGAAGCCTATTGTCCTATTTGGCACAGTGGTCGGACGTTAAAAGCTCCTACGTGTAGTTTAGAACGTGGTTTCAGGAGACCAGGAATAACATTCCGCATACCCAAATCGGTTGCCCTAGCGGTGCGAGGTGATAAAGCGACGTGAGAAGGGTTAGTCGGGGAGATAAGAGAGCTATTAGGAGGTGTAGGAAGGATTTGAATGTGACCAATTTGGTCTCATGTTCTGTTACGGGTATGAGGGCTGATGTCACTTCCCGGCTGCGCACACCGTGGAAAGGTATTTCTTGAGGAACCTGAAAAGGAAGTTGGATTAATGTTGGCCTTAACGACTTGAGAGCGTGACCACAGAGCACAAGGGACAACTGCTTGAGGCCGATCGCGCACAGCCTTTTTGTGGGAGGTTTTTGACGTGTTAGCTCCGTTTTTCAAAGGGCCTTACTGCCGGTGACGGATATCCGTGAGGTAAGGTGAGGTGTGACATTTTTAGAGTCAACCTTTTCTAACTTTTTCTAACCCCCCATCGCTGTCATGCTGGTTGTCTGGAGGAAACACCTTACTGCTGTCACACCTCTGTACAGTCAGCAGTACGACTTCGCCTTCGGACCTTGGGTTTGTTGCTTTTAGTCTAACCGCTCTTCAATCGACCTGTCTGACATGGTAGGACCTTGAGGAACGGTTGTTCCAGCCAGTATAGCTCGGTTGCTTCATCACGATAGGCAAACCCGACCACCACGTCAAGGTAGCAACAACGGTCGGGATTTGCTTCACTAGGTAATTAATGAACGTAACTACAGGACGCAATGGCAGATTCTGGGACAATACTGCTACACTAGTCCAGCAATCTAGGTTGTAACCCCTCACCAGTTGCTATTATTTGGAATGATTTACATAACCCACGTTTATGTGGATCAAACGACATAAGTTTGTCCTTGCATCAACACCAGGCTGATTAGTTGTCAATAATAGCAGACGATCGGTATCAAAAAGTTGATTGCTAACATGCACTAGTAATCTATCTCATGCTTTGACGATTTATTGCGGCATGAAGAGTTGACTTTTTAATGAACGCATGCGAGCTAATCTACAAGAGCCTTTTAATCAATGTTATTTTATGGTATTTTCCCATGTTTTTTCTCAGTTAACTAGGAGTCAGTTACACGTTGCCTTAGGTCAACTGATTGATTCAAGAACGTTCGTGTTGGAGTGTTGAATGTTATCTCTAATTTATAAGGAATACCAACAGGAAAAGACTCTTAGAAAAGCTCAGCTGGAAACGAAAAAGCAAACTATGCTTGTTTCAGTTGATGAGATGACAAATGGATTATTAACCAGAATCGATGAGAATGTGTCAAAAGTAATACCATTTCTTCATATTTACAGCATTGATTTTAAAAACAGGTGTTTCTCTCTTTTTGTTAGTGCCATTGCTCTCCAGTTTTTTTTTTCTTAAGGTTTCAGCAAATATTTTTCTTTACGTAAAGTGCCCTTTTCTAGATTGTTTGATTTGTCGATAGAATTCAGAAATACTTTGCCTGAAAACTGCCGATACACAAACAGTGTTTTTTACCCAATTCGTCAGGGGCTTTGTAGAAAAAGGGATAGTTAGTTTCCTTGTTCGTGTAAATTAAAATCAGGGGTAACATTGATATTTTTCTAATTCATAATCATCCTCACTCACATCGCAAACCAATTCCAACTGAACTTTTTCGTTCAAAGTGTTGTCATAGTTGTCTTTTGAATACTTGTAGGAATATATGTAGTTAAATTTTTTCTTTGAGGTTGCAGCTAACTATATTGTCGTTTTGTTTACAGTTTTTGGGACTTTACGTTAGGACTGGAGTATTCTTTTGTTTTAGGTTATCCCCAGATAGTTCAATAGTTGTTAAATAAGAAGAAATACCAAGTCTATTGATAATTTTATTTTTCGTATTCATTTGGGTAAAAGTGAACAAACATACTATACTGTTATGGAAAAACTTGGCAAAAAGTGATCATATTGCAGTATGTCTGATAGATGTGTGACCCTTATCCTTAAAACTTATGGTTATTGGAAAAATCTCATTTTCCACATTCATAAGACTTTAATAAGCTTCGCAAAGCTAGTATAAATGCTATTTATGTTAAGGGAGTAATGCTTTCATAGATAAACAGGTAACTCATAAGAAAAGGTAAAAAACACTTTCAAACATAAGTGGTTGTGGGTGTGTTTTGTCATGATGTTTCAAGTTTTCATTCACATCTCAGATCCCCAGACGCATAATAATAGTGGTCTACTGACTTATTATTGGTAATCAAATCCTCAAAGAAAGTTTTTCCTGGGGACATCTACCATTCTCGTTTGTGTGACTCAAATTTTCCGTCTGTTTTAACTTCGAATTCAACACTAACATTAGCATCATTAATCACTCCATAGGAAATAAGACCGAGATAGGATGTCTGATGTGGTATGATTTGTTACTTTGGTTGTTATAATGTTCACATATTTACTGGTGGGCATTTGATACTGGTTTGTAGACATAATACTCTTATCATATTAGTAGCATTCATTTGAATCTGATAAAGCGTATTTGGTATTTTGTTTCAGCTTTTTTAAAAATAAAACAGTTTGTTTTTTGTCATATTCTGTAGATTGAAAGTGTGTTAGTTTATTTAAAACAAAAATTTCCTTAAACTATCTTGTGCATTTGACTGGGCAGGAGCTCATTTGATTTATCAGTATTTTTGCTCAACTGTAGCTGCTACCTTGACGCGGTGGTCGGGCTTGCCTATCGTGATGAAGCAACCGAGCTATACTGGCTGGAACAACCGTTCCTCAAGGTCCTACCATGTCAGACAGGTCGATTGAAGAGCGGTTAGACTAAAAGCAACAAACCCAAGGTCCGAAGGCGAAGTCGTACTGCTGACTGTACAGAGGTGTGACAGCAGTAAGGTGTTTCCTCCAGACAACCAGCATGAAAGCGATGCTGCCTTCTCACAAGGAGGGGTGGGGTTAGAAAAGGTTGACTCTAAAAATGTCACACCTCACCTTACCTCACGGATATCCGTCTCCGGCGGTAAGGTCTCAACAAGTACGGAGCTAACACAAAAATCACCCCTAAAAAGGTCGTGTGTGACTGACCTCAAGCAGTTGTCCTTTGGGCACTGCGGTCACGCTCCCAGGTCACTAAGACCACCTCTAATCCAATTTCGTTTTCAGGTACCTCCAGAACAACCCTTCCACGGTGTGGGCAATCCGGAAGTGATAACCGCCCTCATACCTCTAACAGCACTCAAGACCACTGTATTCATAATCAACCTCCGTCTCTCTGGATCTCAGCAGCATCTACCGTACTAATGGATGCTCGAAAACTCATTCCATCTGGCCCTGAAGATAACGAAGAGCGGAGTCAGCTTAAACGGAAGCTGACAAGAAGCCTACGCAATGATCACGAACAGTGGTGGGTAGCGAAAGCAAGAGAGATGGAAAAGGCAGCTGCAATAGGTAATAGCAGACAATTGTTCAAATTTGTCAAGGAAACCGGTATTAAGAAACCGACTGTTAGCGAAACACTCTCAGAGAAAGATGGACATATTATACATTCTCAATACAGGAGATTGGATCTATAGGCAGAACACTAGGGATCAGTTCAACTGACCTTCAACCACACTTCGGTTTCCCACGATCTCCAGTCAATCTGAATGGCAAGTTAATGTAGGTCCTCCGTCTCTTTACGAAGTTGAAAAAGCCATAGGAAATCTGAAGCGAGGGAGAGCAGCAGGCCCTGCCAGGTTTACTCTTGAGATTTTTAAGGATAGTGGTCCAGTATTAGCAGTGATATTAACCGAGGTCTTAGGTAGAATTTGGGAACTGGACGTAATCCCATCTGACTGGTCTCAATCACTGATTGTGCCAGTCTGTAAGAAAGGACAAAAGTCCTCTTGTGACAATCACAGAGGAATCAGTTTGACTAATATAGTGTCTAAAATATTAGCTTCAATAATACTTCGACGCCTAACCAAAGCTCGTGAAGAGCAGACTAGAGAAAATCAGGCTGGTTTTCGACCTGGACGTGGTTGTATAGACCAGATATTCACACTCCGTCAGGTTCTATAACATAGACAGAAATTCAGACGCCCCACAATTGTAGTATTTCTCGACTTTAAGGCAGCATTTGACTCTTTTGGTCGTGAAGTTCTATGGCAGTGTTTGTCAGTGAAAGGAGTACCAAAGAAGTACATTAACCTTGTAAAGGCTCACTACTCGAACACAACTGGTAGAGTGAGAGCTTATGGCGAACTGTCATCAGAATTGATTACCTCAAGTGGTGTTCGTCAGGGCTGTTCACTCTCTCCATTATTTTTTAACTTTGTCGTTGACGTGCTTTTAGAGATTACACTTTCCTCATCTAAATTTCCAGGGGTTGAACCTCTACCGGGAGATTAATTTTTTGACCTAGAATATGCCGATGACATAGTTCTATTTGGTGAAGACGGTGACAAAATGCAGAGTCTTCTGACCACTCTAAGCAGCAGTGCAAACATGTTCGGGATGCGATTCTCTCCCTCGAAATGCAAAATGTTGCTTCAGGATTGGGTTACATCGACACCCGAACTAATGATAGGGAGTGAAGTAGTTTAGCGTATCGATCGCTTCACTTATCTGGGAAGTCTCATCAGCCCTTGTGGTCTGGTGTGTGACGAAATCTCAGCACGGACACAGAAGGCTCGACTAGCTTTTGCCAACTTGCGTCATTTATGGCGTAGGCGAGATATCCGTCTATCAACCAAAGGACGTGTTTGCTGCGCAGCAGTTCGTTCCGTCCTACTTTATGGCAGTGAAATATGGCTGGTAAGAGTAGAGGATATTCGTAGGTTACTAGTATTTGATCATAGGTGTCTTCGAAACATTGCTCGTATATCTTGGAACCATCGAGTAAGTAATACATTTGATAGGAAACGGATACTAGGTAAGGATGGCAAATCAATTGATGACGTAGTGAAACTTCATCAGTTGAGATGGCTGGGACACGTGTTACGTATGCCCAACCACCGACTGTCTTGACGTGCGATGTTCAATGGTATAGGAGTAGGTTGGAAGAAAGCTAGGAGCGGCCAGACCAAAACATGGCACAAGTCCATGAAGTCACTGACAAGTGGTCTGAGTCATGTTGGTAGGTGTAGACTACCTGGTTGGGGACCGCGAGATGATAGCAACCGATGGTTAGAGACCCTGAATGACATGGCTCAAAATCGTTTGCAATGGCTCAGGTGCATCCACTCTTCGTGTTCTCCCAAATCCTAATCTTCTGAATTCTTCATGTCCTTTTTTTCCTCTTTCCAAATTCATTTCACTGCATTATACTCCTTTAATAACATCTTCAGACCCTAGCCTTTTCGATTACTGCTTATACTCTTACCACCTCTACCGCTACGGGATTTGAATCGACAACTGCATCTCTGTGCTAATGTGGCGTGGCAACTCGAACTGATGTACGTACGTACGAAGTTCTACGTTCTCACCGACTGAGTTTCGCTCGATGAATACAAAGTTCCAACCTCAGGATACAAGTTTACTGGTTAGTACCGTGGGCCCCAATTTCATTCGAGTTGCATATGACAGTCTAGCTTATTAGTAAAGTCGAGTGCGTAAACTAGTATTAATTGCCTAATTGTAAAGTAAATTTTTGTTTGCTCAAGCGACAAAATCTTAAAGAAACTATACCAGTTAAAGCTGAAATTCCCAAATTGTGCTGATTTATGTAGAATACTCGTAACCTACCCATATCTCCTGGGGCTATGGATAATGGTCGTTAAGTAATAGAGAACGGACTGATACACAGTATACTCGTCAAATGGCTTTACAACATACGTTGGGTAATTTAGAAAACATCGAAAGAAATGTCTATGTAAGTGTTTAAATACAATCAACCATAAGTTTAAGTGTAACTGATTAATTCATTTAATTGTATTACAATGTTCATAAGTTAGATGCTGCTAGTAGTTATTACTAAAGTGTTGTTCTTATTTTGACGAGTGCGATATAAAACTAATATTCTTTCAAGATACTACAACCCTGAATTTTGTCAGAGTACATAAAGAACTCCAGGAGAATTTGTGAATCTTCAAATAGGAAATAGATTTCCATGAAATGTTATCTCTAAGTATAATTGTTTCTATCTGTTTGTAGTAGTATTGAACTGAGGTATTGTAGATATTGTTGGCGAATACCTTGTTACTATTACTTTAAAAGATAACTTCTACACGTTCAATAATATTGTCTAACGAGCTTCTAGAAACAAAGTACTATTATCCTGCCCTCCTGTCACAGCCAAACACCTACACAGGACTTTTGCTGACAAAGTTAAATAAGATCTTTAGATCAAGCAGGAACTATTAAGTATACTTGTTTCTAAACCTGAAAAAGGGAAGAAATTCCGCCTACATAATCTAATTAAAAATTGCCTCGTTCTGTATTGTATTACTAGGAATGAAACTTCAGAAATACGCAAGTGACGTGTAATAAAAATATTTAAACTATTGACAACTTTAGAGTACATCTTAAAAGTGAATTGACGAGAGTTAAGCCCAGTCATTTTTCGTGTTTGTTACTTTGTTTTATAGGATTTTGTTAAACTGAAATCAACCGGAGAATTTTTGAGATATAAAAGGAGTTTGAAAATTGTTTTAACCTTATTTTATATACAATAATAAATTCATTTTGGTTGAGTTTGAGATCTTGCGATTTTGTTACAGTTGAGGCATTACATTGACTCCATTGACTGCTATTTTTCATTTAGATTTATTATGGAAAGTTTTGACTCATATGATACTAATAGTGATACTTATTACAAATTATTTATTTAGTTGAACACATAAATATTGGTACAAGAGGGCACCAAATATATATGAGCCACATTACTTATTACAAATCAGGTCATCTATGCCATTTATTATACTAGAACATTTTTCAACAATTAGTTTTTGGTTATAAAACTCGAACAACTCAGTAACATTAAGCATAAGTTTATATTATATTCAATATTTAGCATTCATTTAATACAACATACATTAACTTGATTTCTGTCTTTTTTAGGCATATATAAATCAACATCGACTAAACAGTGAATTCAAAGAGTTAATAACTCAATTACATATTTATCAGAACCATGTCAATGTATGGCTAAAGCTTGTTTCCGATATTCGTAATGTACTTAAAGAACTGGGTGATGTTGAATGTTGGTCCATGAAAATGGAACAAGATGCAATGCTAATTGATAGTTGTCTACAAACAGTGCTCAGTCGTTATTGAACACTATTTTTCATGATTATAAAATTTGATTTGGTTGTTTTAAGTGTATACATTTGGTAATTTCTAATTTCCTATTATCTTATTTTAAAATCATAGTATTTACTTGACATTCAATCAAAATGATAGAATAATTGAGCAGATGGTATTCTTTTGTATATAAATAAATTGCAAAAAATTCTATGGATAATATCGTCTATTAAAACTTTTCGATAATAACATGTACACATAATTATTTACTAACAGGAGTTGGTAGTTCGTTATTATTGTTGGGGAGTCGTCTGATATATAAAACCGTTGTGCACATTTCCTATACGCAAGTCTGACATGTTAACCTTCGTAAGAAGACTATAAGTTATCAGAAAACAGTATTAGTAAACCAAATCAGATATATTCACAAACTCCTTCATTAATATAGATATGTGCCCCTCAAAATATTGATCCAGATTTCCAACCAATAGTGTATTTTTGTTCCCGTCGGATAATCATACCATATCCTAACTATTAGTCTATACCCGTCACCATCTCTTACTCATTGTTTGGTCTTAAAATGATATGTATGATTGATGCAGGATATCGATTAACAGTTTGCTGAAGAATAATTTGTAGATTTATTTTTAGAAACGCAGTTTGCATAATAATGATCCGTGACATAATGAAATAGTAAAAGTGTAGATTCATATGCTGAAATGGCTTAGAAATATAGGAACACTGGATGTGGGAAAAGGGATAAGAAAAAGGTATTGCAGCACTGTTTATAGTTTTTAGTCTCTGAATGCCTTACTGCAACTATTTCGGATTTTGGCATCAAGTGTATCCTAGTTTTCGGCTACTACAGTAATCTCATAATTCATACTAGGACTGGTATGTACTTACTCTTCAGCAAATCTTCCTGAAACAACAAAATAAATACTGTTGGTTTGTTTTCAGCGTCACAATTGATCGATCACTGGGTGGTAATCAGTGTCATGTGTGTCAAGTCCTTCTTAGTGCAAATCGAATGCTATCGATCATGTTGCAATGTGACCGCTAGTCTAGGTGACTCGACATTGTGTTCACTTGGTCGATAGCATTCGATCTGCACTAAGAAGGACTTGACACACCCAGTGATCAATCAATTGTGATTACGTCTCAGTCCTACAGGAGGTCGGCCATGGCCCGGATAGCCTAGTGGTAACGTATCTGACTGTGAAGCTGGGTGACACGGGATCGAATCCGCCAGGGAGAATCAGTTCCCTCAAGATTACAGGCACACTTTACTGACGAGTGCCAAGTAGCACGAAATCCGAGTTTCCTGTTGACTACCTCCAACCACCATCTAATCTCAACATTGTTTCCAATTCATATTACATTTATCTTTTAAATGTGAAGACGCACCATGGAGAAATCTACAAGTTTTAACTTACATTTAGATGGCAACTATTTAAATTACGATAACCAGTCCTTCACTGGAAATAACCTTAAAACGTATCCTGATGCTTAGCTTCTAATCGTTAATGCAAATAGATGCATTGTCTCGACTTGGAGTAAGGATACTTATTAAAGAACCAAGGATATCAGGAGGAGTCAATTTTAATATGACTATTATACCGTTGTGGAGAGAAAATCCAATATTTTGTGTACCTTCTTATAGTACTATGGTTTAGTTAAACTATATTTTGGATTTCTACGAATATTCGACAAGATTAGAACGAATAGTTTGACAGAAATTGGGCGCCGAGTAAAGAGAAGTCATTATATGTGGAAATTATATTTGAAATAATCTCAGCGATTGAAATTCCAACGTTTCGTCCAGCTAACTTGTCTGGACTTCTTCAGGGTAGTAATCAAAATCATCAAATATTTTGGATTTTTATCATGTGATGTTTTCTAGTCAAAGGAATAAATATCGATTCTACATCACGATAAGACAGGTCAGAACTACATGATTGTATAGCCCCGACTCACCATAGTGAGTTTCGACTCAACACTTTAACATAAAGGTTAAATATAATGTCTGTTTAATTATTGAAAACATTGGATTACTTTTTTTTCTAAAGTAGATGCGGTAGACTAACGTCAATACAACTTTAAGATATTTGAAATATTCCCTTATTGTTCTAAACTTTAAGATACTCAATCAAGTAGGATATCTGGAAATTCCAACTACTTAATTGACTTTCCTCAGTGAGATAGGAAAGTTTAAGCCGTCATTTATTAAAAAATCAAACCACTCCCATAACCTTTTATAAAAAACCTAAGCTGAAGTTTGTAAATGTTTCGAAAAGGCCCTAAAATCAACATAGAATGATTTAGATAATTCTATACGGAAGTTCTATTTCATAGTGTGGGGTACAGGTTGAGTACATTCTGTGATCTCCACTATAGACGCAAAGGTAAACATACACTAGGTGACTCGATTTCGAGGTAGTGTATAGCAGATTTATTTTGTCATGGGTCCTGCAAACCATATATTGGTACACTATTCTCAAAGTACTTTTAATGTCTTCTAAGAAACCAGGGATCGTGTTAGTTATATTAGAGCACTTTAAATACCAAAAACTATCAGTTCGTGATGCTAGTACATTTTAACATTAAAATGACTAAAGTAACTATCGGATCTAGTGCAGAATCTCCTTTGATGATCGAGTAACATCTACAGCCAGCTGTGTAGGAAAGTCATGTTTATTTTTAGAGTGTCTTTAGTCATAAATTGAAGATTATTGTACAGCATACGTTGAGAATCACGCTTTTTTAATTCACGTGAAAATACCCAATTAGTTCCATTAAACAAAGCCCGTATAACTGCTACTTTGAAAAAAATCCAAAACATTTTGAAATTATTGATGTTTCACTACTAGCCATTAAGATTTTCATGAGAGGTGGAAACAGTTACGACAGAATTACGTGGTTGAATTGGTGGTTCACTCCTGTTAGGAAGATATATATCTGCTAATTACAAACTACATTTATAGCCTAGGTAGATGGATACACACATAAGAATAATGTTAACAAACGAAAGTTGGTTCCATTTTATGCAGTAACCAAGTTCGTTGAAGTTTGGTTCTGATATTCGTACAGGTATTTTCATAATAATACTGGAGACAATTTGCTCATACTTCTATTGATGATATCATTGTATAGCAACATCAGCGTCAACGAAACCGGTGTATAATGCTATTGAGTGCATGTATAGACGCTCATAAAGTGTACTGTTGGAATCGACAGATGGTGAATGAATTAGCATTGCTGTAGAGAACTCGAGACTCAGCTTATAATAATAGTAGAGATTTCCATAATCAGATTTATTGTTTTTGGTCCCGCTCTAAATTCCTAGTTGTCACTTTTCATTTCATTTTACCTAATCAACTGTTTTCACTAGTTGTTACTTTCATCATACTATTTTTTTAGTTGATATCCAAGTTCAGTGACCCTATATTTATTTAATCATTAAACATTTTATCTTATATTTTCAAGCAAAAGCTTTGGAGAAGGGATTTTTTTTCTAGTTATGTATTGCGTTAGTATGTAGTGGTTGTTTAACCTAAATATGACTAATGTTTATATCCATAACTAATTTCGGTTTTCGTCTAGTATTCGGAATCATTATCAGAAAGTAACTAGTAAATGTCGTTGTATTATGATAAATTAAAGGTTTATAAATCATAATTTTCGAGACAAATAAACATGAAATTCATGTTGCTTCTTGACACTCATAAATTGAACGGAATGAAAATTAATCAAGTGGATAAATAGAATACATCATTCTGTAACCTGTTATGATGCACAGCAATCTAAAATTGATACTCTCTTTACCCACTATTATTCTACTTAAATAATATAGACAGAATCATCTCTAATAAAATCATAGATTTGTTAAATATTATTGGCAAGCATTTGATACAATATTTACTGTTGAGAAATAAATTTTCTAGACTTTTTGTTTGTAATAATTCCATCAAATTTCGTTTAGTGTATTAGGGATTCTTTCAGTTTCATGCTTAAAGATGAAAGTAATACACAGTCCTCATCGAAATGCGGCGGGAAATCTGCATCTTGTAACAATGGACATTGAACGTTTGCACAATCATAAAATGACTTTTGCTGAAATATGTACAAAAATCACATGATGTACGTAATGATAATTAGATTGAGTTTGTGAAACAAAGTAACGAATACTAAATTAGACCTATAGACTGATGAATTCATTTCAATAAATGGTCCTGTGTTATTACTTACTTACTTACTCCTGTTACTCCCAATGGAGCGTAGGGATTATTATTAATACTATTATGGTTATGGGTAATAGTATTAACATTAGTATTATTATGTTAGGTGATCAATAAATTTATATCCAAATACTCTTGGTTCAGTATCGGGAGAACTTCCATACTCCTAGTTTTTGGGTTGATACCACTAAAAGCAGTTTCTGAGGTTATCCTCAAGGTTTTCAGTACTCAGTAGGCATGTCGTATGCACCAGTTTCAGTTATTTTTCCCTTCATTTATTGAACGATTACTGCATATCGGTATGTTATTTTCACTAAAGATTTCATTTCAAGCGTTTGGAGCTATTCTCAACTGTCTGCTATGCACATACATAGTGTAGTGAAGCCCAACATATCGGATATAAAACATTATCTATGAAAAATATATTTGAAATAACCTGAGCGATTGAAATTTAAATAAATAGATTATAATTCCGGTTTTGATTACAATCCTGAAGAGGTTCAGGCGACTTTCTGGGTGAAACGTTGGAATTGTTTAGATTTCAATCGCTGAGATTATTTCAAATATAATTTTCACGTATAATGTCTTCTCTATACTCGGCGCTCATAGTTCTGATATTGACGAATATTCTTATAAATATACTAAAAGTTGGGGCTTGAAATGAATTTCTCATGGACATGCATCCCAATACGTGATAGTTATATACTAAACAAACGGAAAAGCGACCGGAAGTCCTGGGTACAACGCTCTTATTTACCACTGAAAACTCTGAAGATAACTTCACTTATTTAATCTACACTGAATTATGTGGCTAAGCATATTGATTCCAAAACTCTTGTGCTGTAACTAAGCTGAATCAGTTAATCGGAATGAATAAATTCTCGAATATGTTTTGCATACATATTTCATATACAATTAATTCCTTTTCTGTTGTGAATAAATAACTTAATGACTAGTCTACGTTTTTTGATTATAATTTACTAAGAATTGCTGAACACTTTTTTTGGTTATTCCCGTGTATCAATGTAGATTTTTTGATAAGTATTTTCACCTTTCATACTAGTTGGTAATAGGTTACTATGATTTTAGTGACTAGGAAGAAATACTAAAAATTTTTAATAAAAAGAGTCTTTACTTTCTACTTTCAGTTCACTGGCAACGTCTCTAGTGTTAGTGAGGCTTCGAAACTCATTAGGAATAATAATTTCCTTCAGATGGGATTCGCTAACCACTGCCAAGATGCATGAAACTTAGTTTCAGGAATTTCTGGTGATTGTTTCCAGCTACCTAACATTGTTAGTATTGTGTTGTGATTGGATGGTAATTTGTGATTATTGGAGTATCATAGTCGGATCGAAATAAATAATCTATTTCTTAGAATATAGCAATAGCTAAAATGTAAACTAGTAATCACATGTAAGTTAAAATAGTTTCTGTGATTAGTGTTTGATATACAACTGGTACAGATAATACTTAACTCTTTAAAAACTAAACAGTCTAATCTATTTTTAAACTCTGAAAATCTAAGCAACTAAACTATTGCTATACATTATAAGTGGGCGGTATTTATGATAAGTCAAACTAGATCTAACATTTCATGATAGTAAAAATGAACACATTGAATATGTTTATTAGAAGATAGACTATGTATGCAGATAATGACTATTCATCAGGCTTGACTAATCCGATAACTGATATTTAGTTTACTTATTCAGAACTATTTATGTAAGATTAAATATTTTTAATAATAGGGCTGATTATTATGATTTTATATACGTGAGGAATAAGATTATGATTAACTTACATCACGATAACAATATAAACAAATTGCTAAACATTTATTATATCCTGAATCAGTTCTAAAATAGACTTCTTTAGCTAATGAACTATCTTTCATTGGTTGACCTAAAGCTGCATGTTGAATAGATCCATGAATTGAAAATGTATAATAAATGAAGAGAACCAATAAAGTTTTCATTGTTAACGGATAAATTAATCTATTCGAAAAATATTTGAACAATATTGTCATAATTGTTAGTGTAATTCTTCAATATGTATGTTGAACACTATTGTAGTTGTTATTTTAGGCCGAGGTCACTGTTGACTAGAAAAAAAAATCAGAGTAAACATTTATTGGTTTAAATCGATGAAAATGTCATACGGAAAGATAATTTTTCTTATTGTATAGATTAGTGAAAGGAATGAAAACGGAATACAATTAAGATCAAGTATCAATGAAAATTGAAAGTAAGGTATCAGAAATTTACTAATAAGTAATTTTGTTTTGGGAGTATTGTGGTGCGTGCTGCTTATATTGACATAAGTAGTATATAATGCGAGTCAGGAATGTAATGTCTGGCAGCAGAAGATTGGGAAGATCAAGAAAGGAAGAATGGGAATAGAAAGTAATTAGTATGGAAATGCAAGAACAATGAAGTCCGAGACAATTATTGAACATTTTGCAAATTAGGTATTATAGTATGGTTTTTCTATTTTACCAAGGAACTCTGTAATGTTAATCTATTTTCTAATCCATGATATATATATATAGACATAAGTAAGGTTTATTAACAATTAACAAATACAGTATGATGATATTGTAATGGAAGTGGGGTTTACTTGCAATGGCTTGTATTTCCCTATTGTCAAAATTAAGAATTGTAACGAGTCAGTCTGTATTAGCTATTATTGTTAAACTTTTAATATCAAAATCAATTATCTAAACGAAATGAATGAAATGCAGTTAAATATAAGCATTTCCAATCATTGAAATCAAGAGATAATGTGATCATATTATGGTTTTATACTCCACTTGGACAACACATTGGTAAGCCATCATCATAATGGAATTTTAATATTCGAAGAGTGGTTTCATTAATCCTGAGCATACATTAATGAATTTTACAGAGAATAAAAACAGTTTCAGGCATACTTTTGTTACTGCTGACATTCATGTTTGTGTGATATTTACAATATTAACGAACTTTATTGTTCTAAATTTTTAGCATTATCGTTGGAATTAAACTTCGAAATATTCAACTAACCCTAGATATCATGAGTCAATTGAAGCTATACCATCATGGAAAACCTGGAAGCATTGGACGGCCGTTTCTTCCTATTGTGCGACTCCTCAGCAGTGCGCATCCATTACTACAATCTCCACAAGACCCCTTCTGATACTAACCTTAGATAATTCGTAGGATTATTAAGATTACTAGTTTATCAATTTATGTACAGAACTTAATATTTCAAGAGATAAATTTCAACTTGAAGAATGCTGGTTGGTGGCCTATACTATTCCATTAAAGATAAAAGGTGTAAGTAAGTAACTTTCAACTTCAATAGACTAGGAGTTTTATATTGAAATATAATGCTAAACACTACTAGTTTAATCTTTAAGGTAATTCATATTTAAATTAAACTTCAGAAATAGTTTGTTCGATGAAAACTATGAAAATTACTTCAAAACTTATAAACATACTCGTCATGAAAGAAGCTAACGAGTGTTATTAATTGCAAAATCGAGCTAAATAACCTGTAAACTTTAATTTTCAATGAGGAAAGTAAACTTGTTTAGTTATTTTGTTTCATTAGTCTTTTTTTATCAGTATTATTTTCAATAGGCGTCCATTTATTTATCTGCATAGAACATTGATATTTGTAAGTGTTGGGTTATTAAAAAGAATATACATTATAACTTCGGTACAGTTTACTTTGTTTTGTTACCAATTGTTGTACAATATTAAAATCAAGACAATATAAGTATGATAATTAAAAATCTTTTATTTCGAAATTGCATTTTTACATCTTAGAAATAGACTTTTAGTTGATATCAAAGTTATTCTAGATGAATTCCCAACATAATTACTAAGTGAGATAAACATGGTTAAAAAAATTGAATTGTATACAATTGAATTGTGATACAAAATTAAAGCAACACTGGTTAACATACATGGTATTGATCTTATAAAATATTCAAATGACCGATTCTGTACTTTTACGGCTAACTAATAAAGTTTCTAGGTTTGATTTGATTGAATTATGAAAATGATGAGAATCATTGATTGAACAAGCAATTTATGATATTATTCAAAACACTAAATCTCAAAACTTACATTACTCATTTATTTGCATCGTTTAAATAATTATGGAGATTTATGTATAATTTAAGTGTAAATTTGTTTGTAAACTGGTATCAACTAGATTATTTGAGTCAAAGATGGAATAATACCGTGTTGATAAAAAGACTTAAGGATTTCAGACTCAATCTCGTGTATGGTTGTAGAGGTGAATTGACTGATTCTACGTCCTCATTGGTTCTCTAGCTGACTTCGTGTGAAGAATATTACCGCTAAACATCTTTGTAAAAAGATTTCTTTAAGAAAATGAATAATGCACCTTATTTTTTTAGCTTTGTTAATTTTGAAATTTTAAGTGAATAAAATGTTTATATTCCTTCTAAAATGACTATCCATACAAAAAATTAAAGTTTAAACTCATGTAATTTCATGAAAATATGGAAAGATTTGCTGATCCTCAAAAGAGGGTTTTGTGGAGATTTCGGTAATTTAATAGCTGAACTAAAGCTAGACCACCATGGAAAACCTGAAAGCACTGGACGGCCGTTTCATCCTAGTATGGGTCACCTCAGCAGTGCTCATCTACGATCCCAACCGCGGGATTCGAACCTAGGACCTTCGGCATCGCGTGCAAACGCCCAACCTCTAGATCACTGAGTCGGCACCCACCGGTGTTAATGTCTAATTTCAACTAATCCACGAAATTGAGCCACCGTCCACCATTGTCTTTAGTGAGTTACTATCTTATGACAGACCCAATTCAACTCCATTGGTCACAGTTTCTCACTAGAACTCCAGTAAATGCCTCTTGAAGTCAGTCATTAGCGAGCAGATGATTATTATGATTATCAGAAGGGGGTTTTGTTTATTCCTTTTTTCTCTACATAGAAAACTATCGGAATACTATGTGTTATTGCCAAACAAAATTACCAAAATAGATTTTGATTATTTGTAGAGATTAGTTCAATAGTTTTCACTCAGAATATGGTTTAGCTAATGAATAATTAAAAATCAGAACTCGCACGACAGCTGTTCTATTCTACTTTGAAACCTGTCAGCAGTCTGTATTTCTCAGACATTGAACCGAAGATCAAAAAATATTGACAAATCAAATGCTACTTTCAACTTCAGCATTCATCTAGTTATTGTATCATTTAGTTTTATAATTTATTAATACAGTAATCTATTCTATGTACAATTAGCATCAAGAAATAATATTTAATATAATTCAGTAATTAAGTACCGGTGTTTGCACATGACAAATGTCATGTGCAGATTAGTTATGTTACTTGTCTACCGAAAACAAATATAAATAAGGCAAGGTTTAGAGTAGTATCTTTATAATTTTTTAAAAGCAGTTATTATAATCACTTTAACGGACTATAAATTATTCTGTGTAAAATTAATTAATCATAATCAAATCGGATTCTTAATACTGATTTCAATTTTAAAATGTTACAATTCTAACGCCATAGTAACGAGCTGACTTAATTTCCTATATGATAATTTCAAACAAATTTGTTTAATTCATAGATTGAATCTATTTGTTTTTAGATAAATTGATTTCCTGATGTTCACGTTTGTTTTTACTGTGATATGAAGTCATTAAAAAAGCATAACTGAAAATCAAATATGTGTATGAATCGTACAATTTATTCATCGTTTAGATGAGGCAGTCAAGACATTTAAGGTTATAGGAATCTTATGCAATAAGAACTGGTTTATTAGTCTAAATGTAGGCGCTTGCTGTGAAACAAGAGAGTCTTAAGTTCGATCTGAGGTGGGATAGTAGACGTGCATTTATGAAGAGTCTCATACTGGGAGTAAGTAGTTGTCCAGAACTTCCTGTTTGTCTAAGTCCGTTAGGTAAACTATAAGTTCCATCAATTTCCACAAACTGTTCACACTAACAGTCAAGTATAATATAGTATAACATTAGCAGATCAATTGATCTATACTAATAGATTATGAAAGTCAAAATATATAAATTAGTCGAATAGAAGTAGACAGTTTATAATAGATACATATGTTTATTGTTCTAGTACCCTATTCATACAAAGGAAAATAACAGTCGATACTATATGAGTTACGAGTCAATATCTGTATGTCTCAAGTATATATATGTAATCTCTACTGAATAAAAGTATTAACCAAAGTTTGTACAGAACAAAATCAAACGGTTTAAATTCTGTGTGATTTTATATCATGTAGTCTGCATGACTTTTCCTCCTCTCTTTCATTCTACCTAAAATCTCAGTGTTTACTTATGAGTAGGTAAGAACAAATTGTTTCTGTCGTGATCGAATGTTATGATTAGTGCAGAACATGCAAAATCATTTTAAAAAAGATATAGAAATTTCAGTAATTATTGATTTAGAAATAGTCTTTGCTTGTTGATTTGTTAGAGATTTTCATCAATTTCAGACTAATTAGAAATGTTGCATTTTCATTTCTCTTTGTTTCTTTATCAAACATTATTCTTATCTAACCAAATGTGCTCTAAAGGTTAAGCGTTTGTGCGCAAGACCGAAGGCCTTGGGTTGGAGTTCCGCGTTTGGGATCTTGGATATGTACTACTGAGAAGTCCCATACTAGAACGAAACAACCATCCAGTGATACCATATTTTCAATGGTTGTCTAATATTGATTGGTTCATAATCACAATTAATTGCATACTAATATGACAAATCTGGGAATTCTTTTCATAAAAGGTACACAATTAAAATTAACCCACTGGGAAGTAATTTTCATGGTAGACCAATATTAATTGAAGAACCACTGAAAAATTGGCGAGCACTAAACGGTTATTTTCGTTCAATGTTGAACTCTTCTAAAACGGTTCATTTGTGATTTCAAATAAAATCAGACTAATGAATTTTATGTTTCTCAGAAAATATAGAACTTTGAAACTAATGATCCAAAATCCAGTAGTTCTTATTTCCCAGTTCAA